CTTTGGGCCTGACATAGGGTTCTACAATCTGCTCGATATTGATGGCGGACATGACCCGCGCGGTCAAGCCGGCATGGTTCATGGTATCAGCCAAGGCCAGGGCGTTCATAACGGTGGCGAGCATGCCCATATAGTCTGCGGTTGCTCTATCCATACCCACGGAGCCGCCTGCAACGCCACGGAAAATATTGCCTCCGCCTATGACGATGGCCACTTGCACGCCCATATCCACTACGTCTTTAATTTCTGCCACCATGCGTACGATGGTGTCGCGATTGATGCCAAAGCTGTCGTCCCCCATAAGCGCTTCCCCAGAGAGTTTTAGCAAGATGCGATGGTGGACGGGCTGAGACATAAGAGGGCTTTCCTTTGTGCTGATGTGGTGGTAGAAACGGATGCCGGTATTCTAATCCTGGTGCACTACATTACGGCCTTGCGGCGTAAAAAACTTCCTTCAGCTTGGGGTGTGAGGGTGAGCAGGCGAAAAAATAGGCCATATTGCTATGGCCTATAGGTGCTGTGTAGCGTGGCGTGTTTATTGCGCTTGCGCGGCAGCGACTTGCGCGGCTACTTCTGCGGCAAAATCATCGACTTTTTTCTCTATGCCTTCGCCTACGATATAGAGGGTAAAGCCTTTAACGGTAGTGCCTTCAGCCTTGAGCATTTGTTCTACGGTTTGTTTGTCGTTTTTAACGAAGGTTTGATCGAATAGGCTGACTTCTTTAAGGTATTTCTGTACCGAGCCTTCAATCATTTTGGTTGCAATATCTGCTGGCTTGCCAGATTCTGCTGCTTTGGCTGTGGCGACTGAGCGCTCTTTTTCGATGAGGTTTGCGGGTACGTCTTTGCTGGTCAGAGCCACCGGTTTCATGGCGGCGATATGCATAGCGGTATCTTTGGCGGCGGTTTCCTTGCCTTCGTATTCTACGACTACGCCTATGCGCGTGCCGTGTAGGTAGCTGGCAAGGCTGCTGCTGTCAAAGCGTTTGAAACGGCGGAAAGA